AAGATAACCACTACAACACAATCCACAACTGTTGCCGAATTGAATGCCTTAATGAAATGTTTTGGAACCTGTTTGTTTTTGCGTGCACTTTGGGCCGACATCAGTGGTGAGATCGTCCCCATACACATCCGAACCGACGCAAACAATTTAGTCACCACCGCTCAGACAACACACCTACCTGAACAGAAGGAGACCCATCATTTAATACAAATGTTAAGACATGAGAGTAACACCGGACACTTGGATGACCTGAGCCACATTGCAAGTGAATACTGTCTGGCTGATCCACTTACTAAGTCAACAGCGAAACCAGACCAGTTAGTGTCATCTATAACCACTGGCAAACTTGAGAATGTTGATACGCACCCGCCATTCCGGTCGTTACTCAAACATAAGGCATTTTTAACTACATGGGTCATTGAAACGTTGTCAGAGCCGCACAATGTGTTAACATTTTTCAATGAAGACATTTCTGATTATGTTTTTGCCATGCTATACTTCGAGGAGTAAATTTTCGTCTCAAGAAAATTTGTGTCTGCAATCTCTCGGCTCACAGGGTTCCTATTGTTTTTCTGTTTCGCGACGCCCGGACTCACGTCCCTTGGCACTGTTCTTGAACCCGGAAGCCAATTCTTGGAGACACCTCGAAGATCTTGTTTGAAGATCGATTTCTCAAAGGTCGCATCAAAAGTTGACCAACTCATTTCCTTTTATGCCACCAAAGTTCTCAAAGCATGGCCGCACAGATCATTCTGCCTCTGCGGATTACACACCACGTGGCTTTCGTAGTCCTCGTGGCAACCGTCCACATCGCACACCGCGTGGCGGTAATCCAGACAGAAGGCAATCGCGCGACACCCGGACTTACGAATCTCGTAGCAGGGTCATAGACGATGCATTCGGTGCGCCTCTTGACTCTGTGCAGTCGAACAGCCGCATTTTTGCTGAGTGCATTTCTCAGGTCCTCAGAAAGCAATCCGGTATCAAGACTAAGGAGGACCATGATTCCGCATTAGCGGATAGCCATTTTGAGACCATGTCACGTCACTTGTCTTATATCTTTCGGCATACGAAGTTAATGCATCGTGACGGATCATTGTCCTTACATGAGCTTATTAGCCATCCTGGCACAGCCCGAAAAATTCGCACTTTGTACCGTGAAGGACAGAAATTTTTGCAAGATTTTGATCCTAATGAGCTTTCAATGCAGGTCAGACGTAGAGAAAACACTGTTACTTTCCTTATGCCCTTGGCCCACGTAATTTGCGACTCTAATAAAGCCAGGGCCATGATCGGCTATGTAACCACTGAAGATTTCCAACCAGGCATTGTTCCGATACCGGACACGTGGTTTAAGCCGGCAGACTTCGATGATGAGGTCAACAGGGAAGGCCAAGCCGACCTGCTTGATGGTCTCGACATTGCGAGCATTTTTATCCGTTTTGAGAGGTGCCATTCCACTGAGGTCGAAATTCAGCATTGCCCATTTAAGCCTGATGTTTTTCCGCTAAGGTACCTCATCCATGGAGCGAACGAGAAGAATCTTGAATCCATCCGAAGACTAGGTTTGCTCCCAGGAGGCACCCGTGGTGGAAGGAACCACGTGCATTTCACTCTTGATTCTGCACTCAGTACAATCAGAGACGTATTACGTCCCGAATCAGACTGCATCCTAATTGCCAGACCTGGTGCCGTTGCCGGCCTTGGTCCAGTGATCACTCACAACCGATATGTCCTCACCGATCAGACCGTGCCGTTCAATCGCTTCTGCGGTGTTTGGTCCTTCGTCGATCGATCCTGGCTTGTTGCACCGGAACCGGCCGAGCTAAGGCGAATGAATGATTATACATCCAATATTGACCTTGCCATGCATGTCTGCCACCACCAACTTTACTGGGAGAAGAAGAACGAAAATGAACAAGATGGTTTCACATGGTCACGTTCCGAATATGTGGAGTATGTGGCAGAAGAAATCGAGAAACTCCCTGTTGTAAAGAAGTTTTTGGAAAGTTTTTGTAGTACCGATTCCGGTCCGGCCAGGCCTCTGCGAACCGACGCAACTCCGAACGACCAAGAGCTTGGCCCACCTGAGACCGAGGCAGACAAGAGAGTAAAAACACTCAAGGCAGAAATTTCCGAGCGATTTAAGAAACATCTCGCCAAAGAGCGAAACAAGGAGCAGTCTTCCGCCTCGGAGAGTGAAGCTCCCAAAGGACCTGTTAAGGCTAAGCCTATGCCAAGGAAACCGAAGGATGCCGCCGCTGCGGCTAGCTCTGATCCTGCATCCGGCAACATTGACCCTGACACTGAAGTTGATCTGCATGCCGCATCTCCCTGGGGCGGCCGCCGACAGGTTGTAAAGACAAAAAGACGCCGCGAGATGAACGCCCAGGCAAAGGATTTGTTCCGCGATGCGGACGCAGCCCAAAAGTTTTTCACCAAGTTTAAAAAGGATACAGATGAAATTCAATGGTTTCCTCGCCCTGCGGGTCCTCAATGCTGTAAGAATTTTGAAGACTGTGGAAATTCAGAGGCAATGTTCTGGTGCCACCCTTGTGGCTTTGCCTACTGCTTGGAATGCCGCACCTGCGGCTTATCTTGCAAACATAATATTGTTAATTTTTCTTCTGAGTTGTCCTCCGATTTTATTCCCGACAGCATCGGCTCAGCCAATTCGCCTTTCGACATCGAAGACCTGGTTGACGCTGTTCTTGCTGAATCTTCGTATTTCGGAGCCACACGCCGAGAGCATGCTCAAAATCGCCAAGAAAAATTCTCGGAACTGATCACGCATCTGCGTGAGGGCCGCTCAATTGGAAACACTTACCTTCAATCTTTTGCTCGTCATGGAATTGAAGATTTTGATTATACAGAATTCATTTATGAAATGCCATTTGGATGTCGAATTCCGACTCTCCAGGAGCACTTTGTTGATGCCCAGGACCAGACGCCTCTTCCGATCTGGCGACCTGAGGCTTTCTTCAAGTACCCTGATGGCGGTGACCTTAAGTCAGAGGAGATTCTCCGTTTATTGGAGCTCTTCAGATCGTGCCTTCTCGGTAAGAGAGCAATCCTTGGTGTTACCAAGCGCACTAAGGAGAACATCCACGAGTTTCAGAAGGACACGTATCAGCTTGGTATTTTGACTTTGAACCTTGGTCACATCAACCGTCTTCCGTATATCGGAGGTTGCGCCAAATTTCCAAAATGGGTACGAACTGATATCAACCACCGTGCATTGCCACATTTAGTGTTCCGTAATGCGGCCCATATTGTGTGCTTGTGCGAGGCTTCCGACGAGTACGGAGGAATTGCCGTCCATCGAGAACTTGCTGAAGAGTACGGGATGATTGGCATGGTAGTGCATCCGCACATCCAGTCACAATCCCTTGCAATTTTTCTCCGTGGCTCACATGATACTGGCTCATTTATTGAACTTTTGTGTCAACACCAAATTGAAACATCCACTAAAGATGCACCTTTCTGGATTTTGCATGGCGCCATTTTCCGCCTTTGCCATGGCATGAACACGTCTACTGGCGCTCGTGTTCCGAAACCGGACATCGAGAAAAATGCCGAATCTACGGTTTGGTAGCATGATCGCCCACTTGCATCCTCACTCGATTTTCTTGATCACTCGATCTGCGAGATCGACGGAGACGATGACCTTGCCGTCTCCGGCGTGGAAGCTTGTGAAGTGAATCTTGGAGCTGACACTCATGACGTTCGACGTCTCATGTTAGCTGAATGCCGCATTGCGGTTTTTCATATCTCCTCATATGCATGGAGTAGTGCCTATAAAGAAACGTGCCAGAAATGGCTCCAATTTGTCGCAAGCTGTATCGAACATCAGTGTGACTTTTTGTCCGGTGACGGGAATCTTTTCGCACAGCGAAGCTTTAAGGCAGACGATCATTCCGACTACCGGACATGCATTTTAATCGACATTTTGGAACGTTTCCTTCAGCAGATTAATCTTCACCGCAGTCCGATAAACCGTATTACGTATAACGTAGTTTCTTCGACCACTGCAGCCAATTACATCCGAAGCATGCGTGGAGATGATGCTGATTGTGATTCAATGCTTTTAATTTCTCTTTGTTACGGTAAGCAGATCGCCGTCACGGAAGCACGTGCAAAAGAAGAATCAGCCTCTGCAGATGGATTCGCAGGATCTGCCTTCTCCGACGAAGTTATGCTGAACGATGTTGAACAGCTAAAGCATTTGATGGCATACGACCTTGGTTTGGCAGAAAAGGACTGTGCATGGCACTCACCTCTCCTTGCCTACGCCCAGTTGAAGGCATTGAAAAATATGCGCATCCGATCCAAGGAATCTGAAGATAAAAGACGTGAAAAATGGATGCAGCGAACTCAAGGATATCTCGAAAAACGAGAAGAAAGGAGAGATAGTGTTCCGCCGTTGCGGACTGACTCACACCGAAATGTTGGACGCACTCGAAGTCGATCGGTCAGCAGGACCAGAACATATCGACCCAGAGCTGAAACACCAGCACCGCCTCCGGCACCTGTGCGAGGTCCAGCAGCAAAGGCCAGACCAGTGGAACCGGTCAAATATAAAGCTGCACCGAGATCCTTAAAAGAATCACCAGCTCCGACGTCATCAGGATCTTCCTCTAGTGCTAGGCCGCCTGTCAAGGCTCCTCCAGTTCCGGTTCCCGGACGAACACTAGGTTCACAGCAGCCAAGAACGCCTCCTATGTACGGGAACTTTTCCGTACAGACGCAAAGGCAGAAGGCAATCAGATTTGGCTGGGGGCCGGGCTCTAGATCACTCTGACACAAAGCGTTGCCGCTGGTTTTCTGAGCAGTTAGACCACACCAACGCCCCCTGGTTGTTTGCCGCTGGTGAATGTTACAGGCAGATTGCATCATTAGAATTGCTAGCAACATTAGCAGCAGTGGTGACCTTTGGCATTCCTGAGTGCATTCGCAGTAGCGTGAGTTGCTCCGCGGGTACGGACAACCTCGGGAACACCATGGTCGTGGCGCGGTTGCTTACGACGAAATTCCCCTTGGCTTGCTTCTTGATGGAGTTGGCTTTGCAGCTGCAGAGGCAGGAGGCTGACCTGGAGTTATTCTGGCTGCCGCGGCTGCAAAATGAAAAAGCCGATGCCTTGACGAACCAATGTTACATTGCCTTCGATCCAGCAAAGCGTTGCAGGTTCGACGTAGCAAAATTTGAAGGCATTGTTTTGAATCATCAGTTCTTCTTTTGTAGCCCACCTTCTGTGAAGATGGATAACGTCACTGCTTTAATTAAATAATTCACTGATATGCAACATGCTATCGAGCGTGGAGAACGACCTGGCGAAAGCTTATAGGCGTTGGACGGAAAAAAGGCATTGTTTTGAATCAGGTTTTGGCAGCAGGACAGGATCTTTATGAAGAAATAGGCCAAACAAGGGCCGGGCGTGAGCCGTTGGTGCAGCAGCGATCCAAGTGTCGCAGAACTGGGCCTGTTGTGCATCTTCGTGGTGATAGTTGAATGCTGGGCTGGCAATTGTTGGAAAAGTGAAAGTTCCTAGAAAATCCCGACGGTAGCGCCTAAACCAACCTACCGCGAAACCTAAGCCTACCTCAGTATGCGCAGGACCCAGCCTACCCATAGAGAGGAGCACGCATGAGGTAGGGGGCCAATGGGGGACTAGTTGGTGAAAAGATGCATCCACAAAAACATGCAAAAGTTGGGTTCAGGCTCAAAGGTCCTCCAATCTCAAGTCACACCCCTCTGGGCGGCGTAAGTGTTCAACCCTTCGAATTGGTGCACAATTGAACCTCACCAGAGTGACCATGAAGAGAAAGGAAACTACACGCAAAGTCATGAACCTGCCTGGAAATTCCTTCATGTTGCACTTGCCGGTACGAGCTGAGTACTTTCTCTCGAGCATCGGAGAAAAGAAGGTTGTCGTGGCTTCCAGCTATGCAGACATTCAAAACAAAATAGAAGCCCGAGACGGCCGCCAGTTGTTCAACACAAGGACAACGATGAGGTGAAACCTGAAAAAAGGCCAACTGTTTCACTTTATTTAGACGAATTTCGAGGTTAAACATGTAAATTCAGAGATCAAGTCAAAGGATCCAACATCCTACTTAGACAGGTATTCCCCGAGGGGCTCACGACATCTTGTCGAACCGACGTGAGTAACACACTTGCTCAGAACTGTCATTGCAATTTTTTTTGTGGAATGCATCCTACATGCAAAAACACTTCCGTTACACTTGACAGGAATAGGTCGGCAGTAATATCCCCAGGACATTGCAGAGAGCTTTGTTAAGTGGAACTCTGCAGGCCTGCTCCACTCCCCTGCGATTCGAAATTTCATGATGACAAAAACAAAAAATTGGAAAAAACCGAATCTCCACCAGGTTAAAAAAATTACATCCCTTCAGATGGATCACACACACGCACCTCTTTCACACGCAAACTGTCACACACAACTCTTGCACATACAACTGTTTCAGGCAAATCTTTTACACACAACTCTTTAACATACAGCCTTTCACACACGACTCTTTCACACACAACACTGTCACACACACACAGCACTTTCACACAGAACTCTTTCGCACAGTCTGTCTTCCACAATCTCCTGTTATGTTTCCCGCCTGTCCCATCCCATTTTCACACCTTAGTTATTGAAAAAAATTGACATGTGGGGTTATCCGGTCCTTTGATTTGATGGAATGAATTGTTCATAAATCACGTGATTCAATGCATTTTCGCTCCAGATGTTTTTTTACGTGAGTGTCACAAATCTGTGCCAGTGGACGAGGAGTTGGCAACATTCAATGCCGTTGGGACTTTCTCCTCATGGAAGGGGCCATGTTCTTGTAACCCACGTGTTCATTGATTTTTCCGCTGCGGTTTTCCAGAATTTAGTATCAATCAACATTCTGAACATGTTTCCCGCAAAAAATGGACAATTTGATCATCATTGCATCAGGGGGGGTTGTGAACAAAATCATATTTGCTTAAAATATGTAGCTTGACACTCCGCAACTTAGATACAGCAGAACTCATTGCAGAACCAACAGTTGTATACAATTGTGAATGGCCCATCGATGCAATTGTTCTTTTCCACTTTGTTCTTTCCTGCGCCTGCACCGTGACTTGGTATCATGAAAAGTACATGTTTTCAGTCATGACGCAAAATTTGACTTGATTTGCATCCTAGGGTGTGGTTGCCCCTTTTTTGCCTGAGGTCATATTCTGCAACCAGGCACGTTGTACAGACCGCTGTTCTTGCAATCAGACAGCACCTTGTTCTCATCGGTGCAGTTTTCCTGGAGAGCTCCTCTGGATCCCAAAATCTTTGGACTATGCGAAGTGCCGGGAAACACAATCGACGGAACACACTTTCCACGGGACATGGCTGGAACTTCAAAAGTAGCCGCATGATGCCGCATGGCTGGTTGTGTCTGAAAACGGGATATACCGTGATATACTCTCAAAATCACCGCAAAAACACTATAAAATCACAAAATGTGGAAAATGACGTTAAATTACCGGTTTTTAGTTTTAGGAATATCCGTTTTCCAAAAACATTTCTCCAAAACTAGTGTTTGAAACTGAGGTGAAAAAGGGACGGCTTTGCCTGGAATCCTGCTCAACTGCCGGAATCTCAGCCCGGCGCAGAAGGGACCCAACAACGATCGGTGAATCCGGAGGTCTTCACGCCAGATATTTTGTGCTGTTTCTACACAGCAATGGCGAGGACTTCTGGTCAGTCAAAATTGTTTTTCCAAAAAGGCAGACGTGGAACACAAAAAAATCATTGATGGCTTTAAATCAATGTGGTTTTTATGGGGTTTGGCCTTGGCAACATGTGCTGCGATTTGCAGGACATTGGTATGTGCCACACCTTTGCATCACGTTTGCGAGATTTGCTTGAGGCACTGGCAAGACCATGCAAGGGAAACATTTTATTCACACGTATTTGCATAAATATGCAACGTATATACGTATATATATATACACAATACAATATACAATACAATGTACAGTAATACAATACACAATATACAAAATATACAGAATATACAGAATATACAGAATATACAGAATATACAGAATATACAGAATATGCAGAATATGCAGAATATACAGAATATACAGAATATACAGAATATACATAATATACATAATATACATAATATACATAATATACATAATATACATAATATACATAATATACAATACACAATATATAATGCATATACAATATACAATATACAATATACAATATACAATATACAATATACAATACACAATATACAATATACAATATACAATATACAAATATACAAATATACAAATATACAATATACAATATACAATATACAATATACAATATACAATATACAATATACAATATACATTACAATATACAACATACAGTGTACCATATAGGAACATACAATGTACAATGTACAATGTACAATAGACAGTATACAATATACAATATGCAATATACATACATATGACACATTATAGATTATAGATTATATGTTATAGGTTATAGTTATAGATTATAGATTGTAGATTATAGATTATAGACCTAGATGACAGATTGCACATTATAAATTATAAACCATACATCATGCATTCCACATTATACATTATAAATACATTATACATTATACATGATTCATTATACAGTATACATTGTAGAGTATACAAAATACATTATGCATTGCACATTACGCATTGTACATGATACATCATACATTGTACGATATACATGATGCACTATTCACTGTACATTCTACGTTCTGCATTGTCCATCGTACTTTATACAATAATCATTATGCATTGTGCATTATACATTTGTACACTATACATTGTAGATTGTCATTGATACATAAATATTTGACATACATGCATACGTACACCGCCAACAGTACACACATGCATATACATATATATATATACATATACGGCAATTGCCTGGGCTTTGCCCGGACCCGCAATGACCACAGGCGACGCATCATCATCATCATCATCATCATCATCATCAGAATTAAACCCTTATTGAAGATCTTCAATGAATGTAGAAGTTTAACGGGGGTGGGAGAATTAAACCTTATTGAAGATCTTCAGTGAATGTAGAAGTTTAACGGGGAGGGAGAATTAAAACCCTTATTGAAGATCTTCAATGAATGTAGAAGTTTAACGGGGGTGGGAGAATTAAACCCTTATTGAAGATCTTCAATGAATGTAGAAGTTTAACGGGGGTGGGAGAATTAAACCCTTAGGAAGATCTTCAATGAATGTAGAAGTTTAACGGGGGTGGGAGAATTAAACCCTTATTGAAGATCTTCAATGAATGTAACGTTTAACGGGGGTGGAAGTTTAATATTACCTAGTACCTTTGTTGCTCTTCCCAATTGACTGTAAAGTTTAATGGTGGTGAGAGTTTAAAGTTCCCTAGTACCCTTGTTGATCTTCCCAATTGAATTTAAAGTTTAATGGGGGTGGGATTTTTATATTTCCTAGTACCATTGCTGTTTTTCCCATAGGAATTTAAGGTTTAACGGTGGTGAGCGTTGAATATTCCCGAGTACCCTTGTTGATCTTCACAATTGAATTTAAAGTTTAACGGGGGTGGGATTTTTATATTCCCTAGTACCATTGTTGTTTTTCCCATAGGAATTTAAGGTTTAACGGGGGTGGGAGTTTAATATTCCCTAGTACCTTTGTTGTTTTTCCCATAGGAATTTTGTGACGTTGCATCAACATTTGTTTGGGAATGGGAAACCTCTACGCTGCAGCGCCGGGCAAAGCCCAGGCGCTGCACGTATATATACATATGTAATCTGTGTTCGCAGTGCATACTGTGGGATGGAACATTTTTCAAGTACTTTTTTGCATGTTTGCGTGTTTTGTTGAAGTGCGCTATGCTATGCCATTTGCCACCCTTCCACCCCATCCCCTCACCACCATCCCGCAAACATATTCCCAACTCCAAGACCTGATCAGATAATTTGATGAGATAGATAGGTAGATAGACAGGTAGATACAAGTACAGATATTTAATCACGATCTCACCTACGATATCACCATATACGATGCTTCATAAGGAAACGTCCCTCACAAAACTCACATAGCCGTATTTGAATTACTATGATTCAGCCATGCAAAGATAGATCGTAGATTGTAGATTATAGATTATAAACGATCAATTATCTATAACAGTTCTATAACAAGGCAAAATTTTATAAAATCCATTTTTTTTTTTTCTTTTTTTCCCATTGGCAGAGAGTCTATTCAGTTTCTTCCTGGCGAAGTTCGCTGCGAGCCAGGTCCATGTGCTGTTGGTCGAGTTTCCAGGCTATGGCCTTTGTTCGGGCAAACCCTCCGAGGCTGGGAGGGGGAGAAAAATCATGGGGAAACCATGAAAAATTGAGATTTAACCATGAAAAAATGGGATTTAACCATAAAAAATTGGGATTTAACCATGAAACAATGAGATTTATACACCCATGAACAATTCCGATTTAACCATGAAAACTTGGGATTTAACCATGACAAATTGGGACTTAACGATCAAACACGGGGAATTTCACCATCATGGGATGAAATTAAAAAAAACATCACCACAAAACAATGGTGATTTATTTGTTCGGAAGAGCAAGAAAACATGGGTGAAAATGCTATGGTTTTTCAAAGGATTGACACCCAAATTGGAGACGTTTGGCGATGGAAAATGATCGACACCATGGCCATGGCAGGAAAGTTTGCCGGTCATTAAGCATTGACCAATGTTTTGGGTCCAATTCTTCAAGCTCATCATAGCTGGATGTCAGCATCATAGGTCTTGACCCGTGTCATCCCAGCCCTGTGGACTGCTAGAAGAGCTCTTCTGATTTGGGGATGATTAAAACCTGGTATTTTTTTTGGGGTGATCATGATTATGATCCTCCATTTCCCAACTATTTTGGTGTTTACCGGGGTAGAAGCTTTTTCATCCATACTCATTCCGCTCTGTGCTGGTCATGCGGCCAAGGACAGCTTGCAGTCAGCTGCTGATGCGTGCTTTCGCTATGTCAGAGAGGTCAGGGATATGGACACGCTCAAATATATGTGTATTTATGCATAGTACATGTACCCTCTGGTAATTTAACATAGCTATTGAACATGGCCACTTATCCTTGATTTACCTATTAAAAATGGTGATTTTCCATAGTTATGTTAGTTTACCAGAGGGTACATAGCTTTGTCCGGAATGGGATTCTATACATAAACTGACATGACCAAAAAATGATGGGGAAAAATGCGATAAACCATTAAGACAAGACCCAAATATCAATGGTTCTTGAATGCCAAAGGACGAGCACGTTGAGAGCACGTTGGTTTCCTTTCTGAGGTGTTGCAAGTGGCACCAGCCGATATCATTGTCATGGGCCGGAGCATGGGCGCAGCAGTGGCGTTGTCATTGGTTTCAACCTAAGACTGCATGGCACTGCATGGTGTCTTCACCACTTCTGAGTGTTGCCAGAACGAAGCATGTGTTTCGAGTGATTCCGGTCTTGTTCCCAGAATCGGCTGTAGAGACAATCTGCAGGAAAGTCCCTTGTTCTCTTGTTCTCATGGGAAAAACCATGGTTTCCTATGGAATTTCCATCTGAAACCTTGCAACAGCCTTTCCATCAGGCTGAGAAGTTCTACTTTGGCGGACTAGTTCTGATTGCTCCTTTCCTGAGCCTCAGGGATGCCCTGGGTCAGCAGCTCGACAGGTGAAGGAATTTATGGCTGGGGTCTGGGAGGAATTAGGACTATTAATGGATTACAATGGATTATTATGGATTTTTGCAATTTCACGATCATTTTTTGTGTAAAAGACTCAAACGCCATGTCTTGCAAGATGATAGGTAGCTTGCAGCTCGGGTCTGACTTGGCCAAGCGAAACAAAAACAGAAAACACTGAGGTACACTGGGGCAAAAATGTCTGAGATGATGTTGGACGAGGTTTTTTGCAACAAAGAACGGATCAAGGGCGTCAAGGCGGGACTGTATGCAACTGCCCTGCTCCTTGCAGCTTGTGTTTGGGGTCATGCATCAGCCGCGGCGCTCAAGCAATCTCTAATGAAGCAAATAAAGTCCAAAATGGTTTGACATGTTTGTCGAACTGACAGGTGTTTTTTCAAGAACGGGCATCTGCAGAAAGTGATCAAGACATTCACCATTCTGATTTTCATTCTTTTGGATATCAGCAAACATCTGATTGGTTGGCCTGATGCAGCCGAATGGGCTAAGTGGCCTTCAATTGGGATCGCTGCATGCGCCTGCTTTCAAAACCAAGCAAATTCATTCGCACAGCTCACAGAGAGGGAAGGACTGTCGAGAGGCTGGTGGAGCTGTGTGAGTTGGGACTGTGGAAATCTGTGGAAGCTGCGAGTTGGAGTTTGCCCATAGCTGACAGAGGTGGTTGGTGTGTCTGGCCCCGGCCAAGCTGCCGTTGGCGGGGCGACCAGCGCGCTCCTGTCATTGCTGGCTCGGCAGAAGACGCGGCGGAGATACTCCACAAGACTTGCGCAGGAGACAAAGGAGCAAATCTTGAAGAGCGTTCTGGTGGATGTCAGACTGATGCACCAGTATTTTTGCCCGAGGTAGTTGTGGTGAGAGGTGAGAAAGAGCCCCTTAATCTCTGCAGAGCTTGTCACTGTGACATACTGTGACTTATCCACGCATTTCGCAGTCAGTTCAGCCTTTTCCAGGTTTTCACATCGAAACAACTGCCTGTACAGCAGGAGACAGCCAAAGCCGAGACCTCGGAGCCTGAAGCCGAGCCCAAGGACGAGCCCCAGGCGGAGCCCTGGGACTCGCAGCTGCTATTGGCTCTGCTGCGCTTCTACCGGCAATTTCTGTCACCACTGCTGCCGCCCAACTGTCGCTATGCACCCAGCTGTTCTAGGCCCGCCCGGAGAGTTTTAAGCTTCGCCAAATTTGAATCGTTGACATCGGCCAAAATGGGAGATATTTATGATACATTTATGATTCTTTGTTATATTTTGTTTAGGCTTGGAGTCGCCACGCTGATTTTCCCGAAAGATGTCCAATGTGCTTTCTGCAGGTATGGTATTGAGGCGGTGAAGAGATATGGTGCATTCAAGGGCGGCGTGCTCTTCGTGTGGCGACTGATTCGTTGTACTCCCCTGGTGTCCTGGCCATGTCGGGCTTTCGGCGGCTGGTCTCTGTGGTTCAGGCTTTCAAGGCCCCCATCCTCTCAGGTGCCCATCGATAGAAGCAAGCTGGTATGGGCCTATGGCCGGCAAGGGCCCCAACGCTTTGAAGCTGGAAGCACTGCAAGCAGATGATCTAAGTAGACCTTTGGTGCTTTGCATCAGGTTTTGTGTGGCAGATGATCCAGAAGTCAGCAGCTGAGAGAGGATTTTGTCGAGATTCCTTTTCCTTCTGGGTAAGAAGATTTGCACCTTCGATCTTTGCAGATATTGGGTGGGATTTCTACACTGGCCGCAACAGGATTGGTATGTCAAACTCTTTGGCACCGACTCCGAATCTCCAGAAAGTGAGTCCAATGACGCCTCAGATGAGACTGGCGACACCAGCAGTGAAGACAGAGAAAAGAGTCTCTTCCAATGCCTTCCAGATCATTGGGTCAAATTTGTCACCCCCATGGTTTGTTCAATCATGTTGAATCCAAAAAAAAAGTCTGATTGGTGGGACCCAGGCCCTTCTGGACATTAGGCCCTTGTTTTGACAGGTTCCAACCTTGGTGATACATGGTCAAAAAGACCGCCTCATAGATAGCTCTCAAGGCGGGAGATTTGCAGCATCTTCAACCGACTGTGGACATGTGAGGTTAATCAAAATGTTGGCTATGCATGGTCAGTATAGTCAACTTCAATCATCATATATAGTTGTATCATAGTTGTATTTGTATTATTTTTTGCCAAATTATCATTCATTTGTGTCTGTCAATTACTGTAAGTTTTTCACGTTTTTCGTCTCGGTTCATGGCTGGTAAAAATCCATATTTTGGTTGGTTGAGATTGCATTTTTTTGGCGAAACCACAAGTTTGCTGGTTACATCAAGTTAAATCCTGATTTTTGCTGGTTCAACCCCGCTTTTTGTTGGTCAACTCCACTATTTACTATTTGTTGGTGCTTTTCCTCGCAGGTCAGCAGCTCTTTGACCTGTGCCCCAGTGGGAAACCCAGAGCCATGGCAGTTCGGTATGATGCATTCTATACACACCCAAATGGAGGTTTCCTAAGCTAGGGGTACCCCGAGTCATCATCCATTTCAATAGGATTTTCCATGAAATAAACCATCCAGCGAGCTATTGGGGTACCCCCCTTTATGGAACCCCCCAAATATATTTGCATAACATCATGGAACCCCCCAAGTGTACCTGTTTTTGGTACCAACTTTGACCATGACATCAGAGACATCAGATACATCAGCTCGTTCAACATGTCGTCACGGAGGCAGAAAGAAACTCTTTGTTTGTCCTGAAGAGATGGGCTGCGATCCCAGGAATCACCTGATTTTGTCCACTGTGAGTCACTGATTTTCGCTGGAGGTTTCTGGCAGAGGTTTCCATAAATGGGGGATACCCATGGATACCCCAATAGCTGGATGGTTTTTCTTAGGGAAAATCCATCTATAAATGATGACTGGGGGTAGCCCTATTTTAGGTAACCTCCACATGAATGTTACTGGGCTGAGGTCATAATGATGACCTACTCAGTGATCCTGAATTTTTAATCAGGCTAGAGTGTTGGTGTTTGGCACAACAAACCAACTCATGCACATGAGAGATCCATAATGTGTGATTGGACCTGAACCACGACGAAATCATGAGGAGTTTTATCTGCTGGCAGCGGAATAGCCGTCATGCGGAGGCCTATACTTCGATTCTTTCCGCTACCAGTCTTCCCCCAAGATGGTGCTTGTGATCAGATGTGACCAGTACCTGTGAAACCTGTGAAACGCACCAAGATGCACCAAGATGCACCAAGATGCACCAAGATGCACCAAGATGCACCAAGGACTACTATTTCACTGCACTCAGAGTGCCCAAAGAGGTCAGTCTGAGTTCCTTCTTGGTCGCATCTCTTTCAGTTCAAAGATCCAGTGCAGTTGTTCGTGTTCGAAGTCTGCTTGAAAGCGTTGGCTGAAGACATAAACATAGAAGGAATAGACATGGCCTGTCATGGCTTCTCGAAGAATCAGGGTTCCCCAAAATGTCAGTTTTACTGGGAAAAAACAGATCAACCATGAGATCCTGGGGTTCATATTTCCAGGCAACCTAACATGAAGCACCTTTGAGAGCCTGAGGAAGACATGGGTTGTCTAGAAATGGAGTATACCTTAAAATTGCATAAAATTGCCAGTTCAATTTGGAATATCAATGATAAACTATGATAAACTATTGAATTTTGGGAAGCAACATTTTGGGACAAACGTGCTTTTGAAGGAGGCCAGCTGTCAAACTCAGCATCCCTCTCTTTCTCTCTCCCTCCCATGGCATCAAGATGGCCTGAAGTTGCAGCCTTTCTGTCTCTCAGCAAAATATTTTCAGAGCAAAGATGAATAAGACAATGCATATAATGCATGTCAGCATCTGTTATTCTGGTTGGATGAATAACGGAAAATTCACGTCATGGCATCCCATGGGTCCCATGAGTGTGAAATGCGATGAACTGATGGGGATTTTGGGGGATTGGCGGCGGCTTCAGGTTCTTGGATTGTCGCGAAGTTTTCCATTCCCTGTTGGAAGACCCTTTGGATTGGTGACTTGGTGGCCAATAGAACACCAGCGAGTCTTAAATTGGGGACTCGGCGAGATTTGTTCGCAGCTTGGATTTCTATGTCATTGGTGGCAGAAAGATAGGCAGAGAGAGAGAGAGAGTGAGCCATTTTGTCGTTGCACTTCAAGTATGAATTGACTTGCATTGATATTGTTTTGCATTTGTTTGAATGCGTCTTGTTTGTCTTGCAAATTACAGGCGAGCCCTACAATGTGCTTGTCGTTGGCGTTCTTCTTCTTTGCAGCCTTTGCTAGCAAAGGCCGGACAGCAAACTTGTCCAAAACCTGGGGGCGATGTCACCACTTCCAGTTTTTGATTCCAGGTGCACCATGAGCCAAAGCTGCGCGTGGTGATCAAAGACATGTGCCAGAAGTTGAGAAGGTGCCCGGAATGCTGATGGGCCTTTTCTTATCAGTATAGGTTCTATCCCCGGACTGATGGGCTTAGCACCTTTTTTCTTTGTGGCAGAGCTCAGTACTCAGAATCTGGGGTCGCTGGGTCGCTGCCACAGGTTGCCGTTGGATGACCTTTTGGGTGATCAGATCAGGACTGCAAACTTGACAGACACGGAGCTGCGATTTCTCATTGAGATCTTGGGAGCCCGGCCCCGGGGCTTAAGTGCCAAAGCCTCAGTGTTTTGCCTCCAGCATTTGGTGACTTGGTGTGGTGAAAACGGTGAAATACATTCAAAAGTTGATAATGGTGGTGTCAGGCAAAAAGACTTGACCTCAGAGGCTGTTTCCCTTCTCTTTGTGCATCTCAAGGCATTCTCCTTGGATTGGGAGGAAGCATGTTAGACTATGGATTGAACACCCAGGATTGTTGGTGGTAGCCCTTTTTTTTTGGCAGTTGTCAATTTGAAGGTTAGTTTCAATGTGGCACTTTGTGAAGCCCAGTTGCGTCGCTAAAGGAGGGCCGTTGTGTCGCTGGTTGCGCAGGCTTTGCCTTCGGCCTCTGGCTTCGGTGGTTTCAGGGGGAGAGCCTTCTTCTGGCGGAGTGCCGAGGTGTAGTGGCACCAAGATGAACCAACGATGATTTTCAGTCCAAAAACCATACAATGAGGGATGACCTAGGAGTTCATGCATTGTCCGAACGTATCCCACTTACTGGCAAAGTTCAAACTCTTGCCAGCACTGAATTCCAATGGTTTCATTCATCATTGAAATTCTGGTGACCAAAATGGTAAAAAGTGGCAAGCCGAAAGCCATAAACCATACCCAGTGAATCAACCAACAAATTGGGTATGGCTTGTGGTTTAGGTTTACCAAAGGGTAGACGGCTATTCTGAAGTGTTATTGTTGGTTCACCCCACAATCGTTCCTTGAATTTGTTTGGTTGAAACCCAATTCTTGATAGAACAACTTTCGTTGGTGAAATTTGCTCTCAAGGTTTGCTGTTTCAATCCCTCCAGTAATCCCATTCCCCCAAAAAATGAAGCATCCCCAAAACCCAAAAAGGTGTGCATCCCCTCCTAAACCATGGTTTCTGGGGGGGCTTTTTTCCATGTTTCGGGGCCGCAATAAACCATCCCCGAGTCATCACCCAGGTTTGCTCCGTGGGCTTGGCGAGCTGCTGAGAGGCTTGGGCAGCTGCGAGCTGCGACTCCAGTGCCTGAGCGAAGATGGTCACTTTTATGGGGAAACCGATGGTAAGAAGCTCGAATTTGAATGGAAACTTCAGGGGGACAACCATTTTTATCCATTTTTGTTGGTGAAATTCCAGTTTGTCAGAAACACCCACATGTTGTTGTAGGTCCAGAACATGGTACTCGTAGAACCATGCGCCTTGGGGTTGAAGGTATGTTCTTTTTTGCTCTTTGAACCCAAATACAATGGATGGTTGATACGGTTTACTGAACAATAATGAGCATCCAACATGGATATCACAAGCAAAACATGTTTGAAACCCATTTTGTGGGAGTTTGTCCACAACTGGGGAGTAGATCTCCAACATGAAATAGGATGCGTTTAACGATCACGAAGTCACGAAGGTACGGCGTACGTGATTTGATCTCCCAAGATTGGATCTCCCCGATGTCACGGTTTTGCCGTGGGTGAAGAGACGGTGGATATTAAGAATCCACCATTTGATCTGGGATCTGGGTAGGGTTGATAAATTTCATCAGTTAGGCTGTCAATTTGCGGACGATGTGGATACTATTACTGGTTGGTGGTTTTAATGGTTATAATACCAATAATAGTGGCTATATGTGGTTATATGATGGGATTATAACATATTATATATACACTAGCACACAATGTTGCGGAAGCCAATAGACCCTGACTCAGCTGATCTTTCAGCAGTTGGACTCATTGTGGAGCAACGAACATGTGACCGTCAAGTATGCGTATTCTTACCATTGGTACTGACCAAGCTCCAGCAAAGGAAAGTCACCAGAACTATAGTGGACTACAGTGGACTTAGTGAAGAGCATCCCAGGCATTTGGATCTTTGTGCTGCACAACTTTCCAAATTGGAAGCTCCGACATTGTGCCGTTTTCTTCGAAGCTGCCAGCTGGAGGCCTCCAACTCGCAGCCAATGCCGCTGCTTTTGTAAAATTCCCCGAATGGAGAGAGATTCGCCAGTGGAAACCAATGGTCCATGATGCGATTTATCACATTTTCACATTTTGGAGATGCGTTTCTGAGACGCTGAACTTGGCGTTCAACGAGCGGCTGATGAGTTGCGAGGCGTTGGAAGGTGCGAGGCGCTGGATGCAGTGAATTCCGGTTGTTGGCAGGTCATGGCTTGAGGCATGGATGTCCACCTGGATTCCACTCAAAAAACGTGGAATCGCTAAAGCCAGGAATGGTAGATGCACTGCAGGGTGAGAGCTGTGGGGTGTCTGAATTGGCCAGGATCTCAGGGGTGGGTTACCTGTGATATCCTGTGATTTTCCGATGAACCAGGGCCCAGGTGAAAACACCGTCAGACTTTTTTTTGGACAGAAGCCATCAGGCGATCATAGTTTGGAATTCTAAATCTCATTTTCCACCTGAAATGATTCGGATTCCAGAAAAATTGCCCCCCCAGGCCTCATGTTACGTAAAAGAAACTGCTGAGATCCTGGCCCTTCCATGTTTGGCCTCCCCCAGGTACTGAAGCATTGCAACATCCAGGGGAAGGCGGGAGAACTACTGGGCATCTGGCTGCGCCACATGCCGCGCTTGCGGGAGTCAGAGACTGAGATTTTTTTTGGACATCAGATGACATGAGATGACATATCAATGGATTGATCTAAGGATGAGGGGAAACCATGATTGTTGAAACATTTCCCTTCAAATCGATGGTAGGAACATGCAGGAACTCTTGAAAAAGGGAATGGTACAATTTTGAGGTGCAGTGGGGACGGACATCTGAGGTTGAATCTCAATTGGAATCCAGAGATTGTGTCTTCTCGTGGTTTGCGTGGCCTTTTCAATAGCTTGGCTTCTGACGAACTGGAAGCTTTTCTGAAAGCAGGGATCAGTGCCCAGCACACCGTTTCAGTGCTTAGATGACCGGCTGCTTAGAGGGGCCTGAAAAGCAATGCTGAAGCATTGCCAGTGGATGTTTGTAGAAAGGAGGGAGCAACACCAATGCTTTAGGGAAAATCAGCCAAGGGTGTTTCTCCAAATTGGACACCCTTACACTATCGGAGTCCTCTTCAGAATTGATTTCGTGGTGGGGTCGCCATTCCCCCATTGAGAGCCAGGGTTGGGTCCCTCAAGGCATTGCAAAGCCTGCGATTGCGCGGTTCAGATCCGGACCAAGCTGCACAGGCACACATCCCATTACCCTTTGGTAATTTAACATAACTATTGAAAATGGCAATAGAAATAGTGGATTTACCATGATTTACCCATTAATAGCATGGTGGATCTTTCCATAGTTATGTTAGTTTACCAGAGGCTAAAATGGATGATTTGGGGTACCCATTTTTGAACATCTCCAGATGGCTTTGACACGCAGGAGGCCTTGAGAGACGTCCTTCAGCGCTTTCCATCGCTGACTTTAGAGCTTGAAGTTCTCCCTGAGCTCTTGGCGACTCATGGACCAAAGGAGAAACAGCCACGACCTGGGAAAGAAATTCGCCATGCATTTTCTCTGCTGCGCTTGATGAGGCCCAGACGTTTGCACTCCGCAGGGGTAAGTTTGAGGAAACGGATGTGGAAGAGCAGCAGTTGGAGATTCTGATATGTAAGCAGAACCTCAGTTAATCATCACCGTTTCTGGTTCCAATATCTCAATTTTTGAAGCCTATGTGTAGTATACATGTATGTGATTGTATGTGTATGTGTGTATATATATATAGACTGTATACATATCTAGATAATTCTACATATATATATATACACATACATATGCATGCTATATATATAATATGATATGTTTATACATATAGTAAAGACAATATAGTAGACACACATACATCCATGCATGAGGTTAAATTGCATTATATTACATCCCCCATGCATAGCCGCATAGCCTCTCCGCAAAATGTCAGGCTGCCAGACTTCCGCGAGCAGCTGCGCACGTTTCTGCCGGGCCCTTTGGAGTGGCGGGCGTTACAAAGTTCCTGGCGCTGGAGCAGCGATGGCTCAGCAGGACCTCTACAGGAGGCGGACCAGTGGATGAGCACGGTGTTGTGTTGGATGGACATCATTTTTTTTGGGGGTTTTCTAAGTTTTCTATGGCCAAAAGTGGTTTGAACATGTTTGAACGTTGTTCAAAGAAGCAGTTCGAGGTTGTGTCGATATTTTTTTTGCTGAACAATTTGCAGAGGTGATGATTTTGGGTTTAAAGGGTGAACAGTTGTGGTTTGTCCAAAAACAGGTGTATCTGTGTATTCCTAAGAAAATCAATGGTTTACGAAGTCAAAATTGCAACATTTTCTTTTTTTTAAACTTTTGAAGGGACACCATTGGCAGGAAACTCCCATACCTGACAGGGCAAACAATGGGTTATGGGTTTCATGCAGATTTTCCCCAACACCAATCCATTGATTTCCCTAAAGCCAATCCCTCGGTCCATGTGTTGATTAATATGTGTATATCTATATGCGAATCTATACGCATACCTAGACCTACATCTCTACATCTAGATACACATTATGTGGATGTACACTATACATGGATACATACGTACGTACATACGTACGTACGTACCTACGTACCTACCTGCCTACCTACCTACATACATCCATACACATACATACATCCATCCATCCATCCATCAATGCATACATCCATCCATCCATCAATGCATACATCCATCCATCCATGCATGCATACAGACATCCATGCGTACATCCATCCATCTATTATACATCCATCCATGTATTATACATACATCCATCCATACATACATCCATCCATACATCCGTACATTATTACTATCCAGATCCAGGAATGTGGGTGTCACCCAGGTACATCGTCGCCCACGCCTGCGGCAAAGCGTGTCCAAACTGCGGCGGCGCTTGAAGGGAAAGCCGCTGAACGACCTGTTGAGCTTAGTGAAGTGCTCGGAGGAGGAGATGGTTTGCGTCCGCGGACGCCTCGAGATGGTGGATAGTTTTATAGTTATAGTTGGGGAGTTCACCAAATAACCATTGATTGGGAATATAGAATGGGATAATATACCAGTAGAAAAGCACAAGGGCGGTGGCGGAAGTTTCAAAAATAGGAAACCTATAGGAGAGGTTGGTTGTTGTGAATCACGGATGGCAGGGCGTATCCACTGATGGACCGACAGGTGGTTGGAGTCGGAGTTGTGTTTTTTTGAATGGTTGCAATGGTTGCAGTGGTCACCTTACCACAACTGCTGGATGTAGTGTGGTGTAGTGCAGTTGTAGTTGCAGTTCTAGCTGTAGTTGTAGTGTAGTGGAGCTGTAGCTGAAATGTAGTGTAAATAGTGTATTTGCAGGTGCAGTTGCAGTTGTAGTCGCGGTGTGGGGTAATTAGTGTAGTGTAATGCAGCGTAATGTCGTGTAGTGTTGTGTAGTGTAGTGTGGTATAGTGTAGTGTAGTCTAGTGTAAGGTAGCGTAGTTGTAGTTGTAGTGCAGTGCAGTGTAAATAGTGTAGTGTAGTGTAGTTGTAGGTGTGGTTGCAGCATAATTAGTGTAGTGTAGTGTAATGTAGTGTAGTGTAGTGTAATGTAGTGGTAGTTGTAGTTGTTGCAGCTGCGGCTGTAGTTGCTGTCTAATGCAATGTAATCAGTGTAGTGTAGTGTAGTGTAATGTAGTGGTAGTTGTAGTTGTTGCAGCTGCGGCTGTAGTTGCTGTCTAATGCAATGTAATCAGTGTAGTGTAGTGTAGTGTAATGTAGTGGTAGTTGTAGTTGTAGTCGCAGTTGCAGCTGTAGTTGTAGCGTAATGAAATGTAATCACTGTAGTGTAGTGTTGTGTACTGTAGTGTGGTTGTAGTCGTAGTTGTGTTTGTAGTTGTAGCGTGCTGCAGTGTAATTAGTGTAGTGCAGCTGTAATTGTAGCTGTAGTTGTGGTAGGAGTTGTTGTTGTAGTTGTCAGTGTAATTGGTGTAGTGTAGTGTAATTAGATGTAATTAGTATAGTGTAGTGTAATTAGTGTAGTGTAATGTAGCGTAGTATATTTGTATTTGTAGTTGTAGCAGTAGTGTGGTGTAATGGTAGTTGTAGTTGTTGTAGTTGTAATTGTCTGTCTATCTATCTATCTATCTACCTATCTATCTATCTACCTACCTATCTATCTGTTTGTCTGCCTGTCTGTCTGTCTACCTGCAAGCTTGAAAACCCAGCAATTCTGCGAGACTTCTTCATTTTTCAAAGTTGACAACATAAAAAACGAAGCAATTCTGCGAGAGTTCCTCTATGTTAGAACTTGACAACGTCAAAAACAAAGCAATTCTGCGAGACTTCTTCATTTTACGAAGTTGACAACATCAAAAACGAAGCAATTCTGCGAGATTTCCTTCAAAAATGGAAAGTTGCGTGCAGCGCTGACGGCCTCGTACCGCGTTTTGTGATTTTTCCAATCCATTTGTTTAAACTACTGCGCCTGCCACGAAAAAGTGATGCCAGGTCATACGAAGTGCTGCACCTGTCACGCAAAATCATCTCAGCAAACCTGAAGATCTGAGGCTCCAAAATGCAACCCCTCTCAGGAAATCAGCGCCCGGACCTCCTAACAGCTCTGATGAACATGTCTCTTGTACTGCGCCTGCCACGGAAAACGCATCTTTGCAGATCCTCTTCAAATGTCCCACACCTGCCATCCTTTTTAGAAATGCCACAAAACCCTCACGTTTTGCTCACTTTTCACAAGGTGCACAATCCCTTGCGCCTGCCACAGAAACGACACCTGAACGTCCAAAAGTGGCACGAACATGTGGTGTTTTTAACATTTTGACTTCGAAATGTGCTTCGCGCCACAACGGCGTGCACTTTTTCGACATCGCAACTTCCAAGAGTGGTCCGAACATGTGGTGTTTTTAACATTTTGACTTCGAAATGTGCTTCGCGCCACAACTGCGTGCACTTTTTAGATATCGCAACTTCCAAAAGTGGTCCGAACATGTGGTGTGTTTTGTACATTTTGACTTGGAAATGTGCTTCGCGTCACAACGGCGTCCACTTTTTTAACTCCAAAAGTGGCCCAAACACGGTGTGTTTTGCACATTTTGACTTGGAAATGTGCTTCGCGTCACAACGGCATGCAATTTTTCATCTCTCATTTTGGCCAGCTGGCTCCGCACCCGCCGCTTTAGCGAGCCTACTTTTCGACCGCCCGGAGCCGCAAATCATGGAAAAACACAGTGTTTCGCGACTTTCCTACCCTTTCGCGCACCTGCATCTTCTTTCTTCTGATTCTTTCTCTTCTCTGATATTCTCTCTTCTGCTCTTCTCTCTTCTGCTATTCTCTTCTCTCTGACTCTTCCCATCTCTGCTTTTCATCTGTCCATATTGTCGGAAGTTTGAATTCTAAACTTCCTTCGACGAACAGATTTTCAAAATGGGCTTCTTGAACGTGGCGATGTATGGGTACTCTGTTTTCAGGCAAAACCAGATTGGAAATATTGGGTAAGGGGACTGGTGGAGAAAAGGTAAACACATTGGATGATCAGTCTTGCAATACATGGGACAACGTGATAGTTGCTTGAGATCGATGGAGGATGTATCATTGGAACTAAAATATGTGTGTGTTCTTGTGGATGATCCAAGATAAACCTATATAAATAGCTGTCAGGGATACAAGGGAAACTTTGAAGCGGGACCAAAGTCCCATGTTGGTTCAACCCACATTTCGGTAGTTCAAGTAGTCTTGCTTTGTTGGGAGGCATCCGGACCGCATCCGGAGCAAGTGGAGTTTTTTCAAAGCAGGAGGTGCGCTTTGCGATTGAGCTGATGGGTGCCCGTCCCCGCAAAGCCCCTGCTGGCAAAGTCTCTGAGAACTTCGTCTGGAGGGGATGCAAAACTGGAAAACAAATCTGGGGGAATTTACAAATCTGTCCAAACATTGGGGGTTTTGTAAGATCAAAACATGAAACTTGGGGGAAAAATCGGAAAATTGCTGACTTTTTTGGGGACTCCAATCATACACCAAATCATTGATTGTCTTTTGGGCCACGAAAAACAGCATTCCCACCATGTTTCGCCAAGGATTCGAAAATTGGATCTCAGCTATGAGCATCTGCCACCAGGCTTACTGTGGATCCGTCGTGTAAGCCCCAAAAGCCTGCGATTTTGAGTTTCACTGAATGATCAGTCCATTTTTTCCCAGATTATCCAGATTCATGTTTGGCAAAACTTGTCCAAGTCTTGACCACATTTTGACATCAGCAGCCAGTTCATGACTTCTTGCAAGTTCGACATCGTTTTTTTGACTTAACAATTCATTCATGATCAACAAAAATGGGTAAGTCAAATTTAAATGCTTTATCCATGACCATGACAAAACAGTTAAAAACAGTTAAGCACAATTCTGACCTTTGACCCATCCCATTTCGATGGCCAGGGGGCAAGGCCATGGCTCCACAGCAGGGCATGGCCTTGGGCGCTTTCCTTCGCTACTGTTCCCAGCTGGTGGAGCTGCGCTTGGAAGGTCCGGCCAAAACATGGGAGTTGAGGGGGTTATTGATGGGCCTTATAGGTGCAAACTTACTAGATCTTACTATAGCTTACTAAAGCTTACTATAATCTTAGTATAATCTTAGTATGTTGGAAGGCTTTAGACTCTGGGTACTAGTTCATAGATGTATCCATAGATTCAAGACGAGTTCAACATAGGCTAAAGAACGGAAATTGATGAGTGTCAAATCACCCAAGTCTGACGGTGACGTAGGCAACGCCCAGCTTTGCACTGCCGGTGGCTTGCGCGGCCTATTGGATGGTCTGGGAGAGCAGCGTTTGCAACTGAGGAGATCCACTGGTTGATTGGCTGGGATGCGACAATGGACCAAATTTATATAAATTTACCATGAAATGGTGCAATGATGTGCAATGTGAGTTCCATCAGTTCTGGAGATAATCATTTTCACCGACTTTCACCTGTAACCACCTGCAGCCTCAGATTCCAGGACGCTCCTCTTCGGTGGATGTGGTGTTGCAGAGCAAGCAGCACCCTACCTTGGCTTGGCTCTCGATGTGCAGTCAAGATTGGGAACCCCCTTCAGATTGGGGATTTTCGAGTCCTGACCTGTCCTGACTACTTCTCAAGGTATCTGAAGGTAACTAAAATTTTGAAGATGGGCCAGCTTGTAGAGGTGCTCACTAGTCTAGTGATAGTCCTCACTAGTCTAGTGATAGTCCTCACTAGTCTTGGATTGCTGGCGCTGATGTCCGTTGCCAGAGAAATTTTGAGTGGCAATGGTCCTTTTGAATCGGAGCCGATACGTCCCAGCTTACTGCACTCCTCATGAAATTTGGTGAAAATTCAGAAAACACGCCTGACACCTTCCATTTGGAAAGGAGGAAGAAGAGAAACCAGGTGGTATACGTCTTTTTGTTCCAGATTTCAGATTTTGGGGTCAAAAACTTGGGTGCTGGATGATTCTTGGAACCTCAGAGTCAAACCCTCCCAACTCCCATTAAAGAGGGCAATGTGTTTGGGGCCGACCCCTTCCAGATACCGCCAGATCATGTTAATGTCCCCAATTTATATCCAATTTATTCCAGTTTGATTTCCCTCTCCTATAGGACCATAGGACGCCATAGGATGATTGGTTGCCCAATGATCATTTCCACTGAGGTCGTCTCCTGCAAAAATGCCCTGTGCTGACCACGCTGAATTTGGCGGGGAATCGCAACCTGTGCACGGCAGCTGGACTTCGTGCACTGCTCCAAAGTTGGGCAGGTCTCGGTTGGGACGACCCACCAAAAATGGGTCTGAACACCGGGGGATGGTCCCCCAATTGAGGGCAATTTAAATGATCAACCATGATTTTTTTTTGGAGTTTTCTCATGTTTTACCCTCAATTTTAGACACTCAATTGATTGTTGTGATGGCCCGAGACGGGCTTAAAACATCGGAAAGCCAACCCTTTTCCAGAGTTTCTGATCATTTGGCAAGGATAGACTTTGAAAGATTCAGCAGCTGAATCCCTCAAGACAGTTCAAACAATCAGGTCCAAGAATCCACAAGTTTTGTCATTGATTTTTAAATACACTTCTGTATCGGTGGAAATATTCCCATGACTAGATCACCCCTTTCATGGCGAAATCCCCATTGAAAATGGGGGAGCCACGGTGAATCGCATCGCCAGGTGATAGGATCCCTTTGAAGCAACTGGTCCTGAAGAATTGCGGATTGGAGACTTCCTCTGCGCATGTCTTGGGCGAAGTCTTAAGGCCTGGCAGTGGCTTTTGGAGACCGGCCACCATTGTGATCACCTGCCAGGCGCTGTCACTACTTAGAAGACTTGGTGTTGGTGGGCAATCAGGCCAGATGGCAGTGGCCCTGCCCTTTCACATTGATGGATACTTGCGGTATGTTTTCGGTCTCGTTCCGACGCACTGGTTTGTGGTTGGGAAAATGGTGCAAGATTTTCTAGTTATTGGATCTACCGCATTTTTGATGCTTACAGGATATTCCCATTTCAAAGTCCTATCATGTTCTATTCCTCTTTATGGTTGGTAAGACGTTGCCACAAATAGGACCCCCCAACAAAAAGATGCCAAAAAGTGTGGCACCAGGATGTCGGTTCGATGATGTTTCCTTGTTTCCTCCAAAATTTCTGTATCATTTCTAGATTTCCAACGAATTTCGGCATGATTTGCTGGGTGAGTTGGATGAAATATCAAATATCCCATGAGTTATATTAGATCCCTGTTATATCCATGTCATATCCCCATTATGTATATATATATATATCCACATTCTTCCCATTATATCCGCAAAAATATCCCCTGTATCCATTATATATCCTTTTGTTGGGGGTTGCCTTCCTGCAAACTAACATAGATGTGGAAAACCCACGGTGAATGTGGACCATTTCCTAAGGGGACCATGGCTTTTCCACATCTACGTTAGTTTACCCCAGGGTAGGTACCCCAAATCATCCAAGTCATGGATGACCATGACTTAGTATCGAATCCCATGGTGATTGGGGGATCCCCCATGACTTTCTTACGAACCCTCTATATCTCCTTTTGTTGGGCGGGGGTTACCAAATAAAACCATGAGCAGTGAGTGGCTGCTAAACCCTGCTTGGTTCATGATTAGTTCGGGGTTTCTACTACCCAATATACTGGGGACTATAATAATCCAATAGGGGAATCCCATTCTTAACCAACCAGTATAATGGAATGAAAGAGGGATTTTGAACACTCCAATCACCACTAGACATGTTTTGAAATCCCAATGGAATGGAATATGATACAAATCCCATTTCATGGAATATTATATAATATATTGAATATGAATATTGTATATGATGGGATATACCACCTCAATTAAACCAGAAACATCTTTTTGTTCACCAACATCGGGGCCCTTGTTGGCAGGCACTGTTTGAGGCGCCCGCCTTGATCTTGTTGCTGAAGGGCCTCGGAGACGAAGGCGCTTTGCTATTGAAACTGGCCCAGTCGAAATGGTGATTTACCCAGCTATAAAATGGTGGATCTTTCCATGGTTATGTGAAGCAAAATACCAGAGGGTAGCTGGTACACTGGGATTCAATGGGATTGAATGGGAATTATATCATGGGATTGAATGGGAATAGAATGGGAATATAATGGGAATATCACGTCAATATACAACCAAATTGACCAACCAGAACTATTTTTCGGATGCGTCTGACAATGGATACCTCCCAGTTTGGGGCCGACTGCCAGGCTTTATGTGGCTCAGCAACTTGAACTTTGGGAACTTGTTTGAGATTGATGTGGCAACTCAAGAGGCGGAGATTCGAATTTTCGGCCATGATAACAGATATGGAGATCCTCTTCAGCAGATTGATCATATGAATTCTGGCCGTTTGTTGGCCATCACATGATCAATTTGCTTCCCTTTCTTGGGTGACGTTGGACAAAATGTGTCAGGTCCTTAGCTGCTTTCTGAATCGATGTGCTGTCTCGTCGCGAGCAAAACCTCCGGCAGCATTGGGAGAGTTGTATGGCTTATGTTGTTTCTCACGGGGCACACCGTTGTGGCTGGCACGTTGGTTGAAGTTGTTCACATCCTGATCTGTATTCCAAAACGATCCCAGCGTTGATCATCATTGTTTGTCCTAAAATGGGTTATCCCATATTTTTGGACAAACACATCTGTTGATCAGCCAAAGCTGATGCACAAAAAGCGGTGTCAGGCCTTTGACAAGCGCTTGTGTCCTCTTTACCATGGGGTGGTTGAGGTGCAAAGATGTTTGCGCAGTCTTTGTAATCCTTCACACTTTACGAATACTATTGTTTTGTGTTGTTTTGTGTGTGTGAGTGCGAGAAAATTGAATTTACACATACTCAAAATCCGAGATTTTTGGGACATTTCCACCGCGTATCTCCCACATTTTTCCTTGGCGCGTTTTCTGTGTGATTCGGCGGCATGGCAGATGACCAAGAACCACAAGCCGCTGGCAAAGGTTGGTGGAGACAATGAGGCGGCTGATCATTTTGAGCAGTTGCAAAAAAAAAATCAGCTAGTTTAGTGAGGATTTATAAGGGTTGCAACCATGGAATCATGGTGATATGGGTTTGAAACATGCGCATCGTATACATATATATATAAAACATATAATATATGTATATATATATATGATGAATGTCGGTTTGCGATTTTTTTTTTGGGGCTTCTGCTACCCAGAAGCAACATTGGGCATCATAATCTATGCATCTTTCGTCCATAATCCCCCTGGACCAACCTTTCAACCGCCGTCTCTGGTCAGGAAGATATCCTTCCCGATGAAGTTCAGAGGCCCTGCTTGATGCACGTATTTTTCTAGAATGATATACAATGATATTCATAATGATATACGATGATAATTATAATGGTATATATATATGACATAATATATATATATATTCATTTATAATGATATACATCATGATATACAACGACATGTCATAATCTATAACCACGTATTATCATGATATATACGGACATACAATGATATATGTATATATATATGTATATCTATATTATATATCTATATATCATATCTATATATCTATATATCTATATATACACAAATAATTGAACTGCGGTGTGCTCCCCAAACATAGTAGGACCCCAAGCATCCTGCCAGGAAAGACGATCCTAGCCAAGAGCTCAACTCTGCAATATAATAATTTTCATCAATGACGGAGCCTGATTTTTGTCAGCACTTTAGGCAAATGCCATTTATGCCATGTGGGTATGGGTCAATACCTATAGATACATTTTTAGTGGGATGAACATCCATTTACCAGCTATTTTGGGGTTCACCAGGGGTATAAGGTTTTGACACACTGCCATGTGATGCTGAAACATTGGGGGTCCAAACTTAAACAAAACATCATTCAGTCCGTAGATGAAGCCCAGCTGAGACGACTGACAAAGTCCAAGAAATCCTGATCAACACGGTGCTGCTTGGCATTGGATAAAGAGTGCTTGGCATTTCTTTTCGGAGATCGTCCTGGATATATATATATATATATTAACCAATCATATCAGCCAATCATATTTTTTGATCATAATATATAGCATATAACGTGGAGACGGAGTTCATCTTTTGCGGTTTGTTGAGTGAAGCTACCATGAGGCTCGCAAGGGAATGTACCAGCTGGGACCCAAGAACTGGAAGCTGAAGTACATACCCGACTTACCTGGAGGTAATCAAAGGTGGCGTGCTGGAAATCTCCCATTTTCGCAAACGAAACCTCCCATTTTCGTAGCGGATTTCCCAGCTACGTTGGATACGTTGGTAGATGGTCCATGGAGGAATGCCATCCGTTTCGTGTACGTTTCGGAGGACGCCGTACCTGCCCACAGGTCTACCTATGAATCCGAAGACTTGCCAGGCTGGAATCTCCCAGGTCATTACTTCGGCTGCCTCTGATAGGGACAGCCATGTAAAATTCTCAGCTGTGAATGATCATTTATCAGCCGATGATGTGAATGACCACATATTACACACACACATATATATATACAGTAACTATATATATATATCCAAATATTTATTTACGGGCATGGTTTGTCTACCAGAGGATGGCATCAGTTTCCTTCATGCGGTTTCCCAAGATTTCTGCGGGCTGCTTCACACTACGTTGGAGGGGTGGATTTGGACATCGGGATTCTCAAGTACCTAAGGCGTCTTGGCTGGACATGTCATTGGGACTGTTTTTGAACAGCACGTGTCATTTCCTGGAAAAAAAACCATTGCTTCCCTGCAGCTAAGGTCACCAGATTTGCTGAAAGATTCCGGGTATCAAGCCTTCCACAAAGTTTGGGAGGCTATGCTTGGAAAATCCTGCCGAGTTTCTTCCATCTTGTCATGCAGCAGAAATCTGGGTTCTTGTCTCAAAGTGGTGGCGTTACAACCCCCCATTCCCTCCCACTGGGTAGAAAATCGCATGTTTTTTTTTTCCTTTGCCATAAATGGTCAGCCAGTCCCATAAATGGGAAGCCAGTCCCCCATTTTTGGAGCGCCATGGAGGCAGCCACATGCACCAGCAGACCATTGGTTGATGAATCCTCACCAGTCCGGAGCCCAGGGATGGTTTCTGCCATAGGACTACTCCAAATTGAAACAAAAAAAGACAAGGCCAAAAGTCACTTAAAGTCACAAAAAAAAGTCACTTGCCATGAAAAAACCAAAGGGATGAACCTCTCTTTTTGATGGTGAACTGATGATTGGTACGTATTCCACTGAGGCCATTGTGGATCACACCGCGGTCATTGTGGATCACACGGAAGTCAGTCATAGTACGTTGGGCGAAGCAGCGGCTGGATGATTCAGCGATGGTGATTTGGGTGACAAACTCCACCGTGGTTGGATGGCTTTGAACCGAAATTGGGTATTTGTTCCACTGTTACCCCCTTTAGCAAGTGTTTGAGAGTGTTTCGAGTTGCCAGCTGGACATCATTTATATCATTTGGAGGAATTTATATATAGATAATTGAATGGTAGTTGCCATCTCTCAACTTGGACGATCCCAAAGTCATTGGATCGGATTTAGAGGTGGCGCTTCCAGTGTCAGCCCCTGGGAGTTTGTTATTTTTTTGACGGAAATCTCGTGCAAATCCCATGCCCCATGTCCACCTACCTGACCACGTTAATTATCCAACCGGCCCAATGACAATAGTTACTCTATAGCTGGAACTATTTTCAAAAAACTCGAGTTGTTTGATTTGTTGATCTCTAGCAATTTGGACTCCCAGCTAGGGCGGCACCTGTCATAGCTGACCTTTGTCGCTTCATGATGCCAAGAATGTTGGGCCTTTGGTGGGTTCAACATGCTACCGCACTGAAGAATATGGGGATCATCATCCCAAAATTGGTGTGCGCGGGGTCCCTTGTCTGAGCCAGAGCCATGCACGGGCATTAATGAGGACACGGCAAGCACAGCCAGTGGCTATTTCTGCGGTATGAAACCCCTCTTGCTTGAAAGAACTCCATGCACAAATCTGCTGCTTGCTATTGCAGCTCAAATGAGTTTCGCCCAGTTTCGAATTCTTAGCCTGGAAAAACATGGGCAGCAAGATGTGCACTCCTCAGCCAGCCGTGCTTCGACAGAAATTTCCACTGGTTTTCCAGATCGCGATGCCTTGCCGAGATCTTCTGGACCTTGCCACCAGCAGTAGGGTGCTCAGAGAAGCTGACACGATTCACAACTGGAAGGTCATATCAGTCATATATCAGTCATATCACACGTCGCCAGGGGCAAGCCGTGATGATCTTAGCAGTCTTATGGCTCCTTTCCACAAGGTGGTGCTCTCAGTCGCGAGGTTGGGTAACAGCGTCCCTGGTGACCGGATATCCCCAGGAAATCCGCTGTTAGCGGCACATTTCTGCCTGATTCATCCAGGATTTCCCATGGATTTCCCCGGAAGGTCTTGGCGCCTGGTCTTGGTCCTCTTGGCTCTGGAGTTTCCTGGCGTGGTGTGGAAACATCATTTCAGCAGCCGGTTGTAAAAAGGAGGTCTTCAAGCACATTATTAGTGTCATAATGATCATAATGGTTAATTTATAGGTTTATTTATAGGTCTTCAACCAACTATTATGAACGGTCCATTTTTCCCAAAAGCATCTTCGATGCTTGGGTTCTCGTTTAGTTGTTTAACCGCGTGGGGGAGCGACCTGGCTCGAACGGTGGTGTGCGGACGGCGTGGGTGCAAGGGAAAGGAAAGGAAAGGAAAGGAAAGGAAAGGAAAGGAAGGGAAAGGAAAGGAAAGGAAAGGAAGGGAAAGGAAGGGAAAGGAAGGGAAAGGAAGGGAAAGGAAGGGAAAGGAAGGGAGAGGAAGGGACAGGAAGGGAAAGGAAGGGACAGGAAGGGAAAGGAAGGGAAAG